TATTGATAGAGTCAAACTATGAAATGCATGACCATGTTTAGTAAAATAAAAATGAGATATTTGTTTAGAAAAGTTTGCTCAGATATTAAGAAAATCAATTGGATTTTTTAAGGTGACTTTTTCATGCCTTTTGATTAATTAGATATGAGGACAAATAGACTAATAATATAATTTAGATATTATTGCATGAATAAGTTATGTCAATTTAATGACATTCTTAATATTTAAAAGTAGTGATATATTGCTAGATGTTATTCACTATTAATAATATTAACTATTAAAAATTTATATTTAAATATCGTAATCAAATATTAAAAACTTATATAGTTATGTACAAGAATAAACCTGTTTAAAAAAATTAAATTCTAGTTGAACTAAAATTATTACCTAAGTGGGCTAAACTTATAATTAATAAGCTTAGGGATTGAATCACACTCATTAGAATGTTTTCTTCTATAAGAGTGCATTAAATGCATAACCCTAAGGCATGTGGCTAGACTCATTCCTATGCAAGTACTAACATAGTGACGACAAAGGATTTTGGCAAATTATTTGTATGGATATCTAAAGAGACGCAACCATAATTGCTACATTTGTCAATATCAAGTAATTATAAAACCAAATATATGTGTGAATATTGTGAATACATGTTTTTTTCTTTCTTATTTTATTACATGTGATTCAAAACCAAAAAAAGAAAAAGAAAAAAGAGACTTGTAGAACAGGGAGCATGTAGGTTACTTCTACCGGCTGCAAACATTCAATTAAACCCCCTTTCCTTTCTCCACAATTTTGATTATGGGTGTATGAGTGGGTTAGTATATTTGGCCACGTTTTCCTATGCCTAATTATAACGGGGCAATTATTGAGAACCAAATAATAAAACAAAGGTAAAATAGGAAAGAAAAAGTACGGTAACCCAAGGAAGAAATAAAAGTATATTCAAAGGGATTGTCAAGGACTCTTGATGGAAAGAGGCAAAAAACATTTAGAAGAAATAAACATTATATGCAATGGATAGGGGAAGGTGAGGTGGTTTCAGTAACAAGTTAATTGTTGAGTAAAAATTACTAACGAAGTTCCTATCTCATCGAACTTAATGAGAAACAACTTTTGAAAGAAAGAGGTGAGAAAGGAAGACTCTTGGGAAGAAGAAGGATGTTGCTTCAGGATGCTTCCTCCCCTCCCCAGAAAAGAAAAATGAAGCGTTAGAGTGAAGAGCAAGATAGAACTAAAAATGGATAGGGTGTCAAGAGGAAAGGAAGTAATGGCTGGTGCCTTAATGAATAATTCAAGGATTTATTATGGGAAGAGGACAATATACATAGAAAGACTAAAAAAGAACGTTGTGTGACTCATAAGTCTATAAACCCAGACTTCTACTTATAATCCCTCAAAAAAATACTTGGAACTCTTTGGTTCCAAAAACAATTATTTTATTGAAACTTTTGGATTTATCAAAACTTTATATTTTCTCAAGATTTATCAGCAAAAGGTAGGACTTTTCTTTTTTTCAAAATTTATTTGAACTAACTTGTTTTATTTATTTATTGTACTGTAATTATTGTGACAAATGAGACACTTGTTGATCCTTAGCATATTGTTAAATAAGATATTTAATAAAACTTTAGTTGGAGAAACAATCAAATATAGATACATTGTCAGATTCAATATCTTTCAGAAGTTTAAATTTATATAGATTTAAACTTAGTCTAATTTCATTTCTCAAACAATCACAATCGTAGTTAAATTTTAAATAAATCAATAAATTTATATTAAATTTGTTTTTTTAGTCTAATTTCATTTCTCAAACAATCACAATCGCAGTTAAATTTTAAATAAATCAATAAATTTATATTAAACTTTTTCTTTTGTTCAACTATAATAAAGTTTAATATTTCAAAATCTTTGATGGAATCACTTTAATAAATTATATATAAAAAATAATTAACAAACACATTTTATAATTCTTTCAAAGACACCAATTTAATTTGTGATATCTAATTTGAATTTTAATAAAAGCAACTATATTCAATACTTAGAGGGAAATCTTTATCATCTATAACAGTCCTACTCGATCCTAGCAGAGAATACATATAATTTAGACAAAATAAGATATTAATTTAAGTAAGAGCAACAATTTTAATTTAATAATATTAAAAACTAAAATAGATTATTGATCATGAATGTGAATCTTGTGTACATATTATGCATAAAAAATTAACTAATTATCATAAATAATAAGATAAAATATTTTCATAAATTCTAAAATATTAAAATAATATTTTTTAATTTATTTTGCAGTCAATATTCTTGGTCACAAACTTAAAAATAGTGGAAAATGTATCAAAATTATTATTTTTAAATCTTAAATTTATTATTTATTAAATTTTAATACAAAATTATCATAAGAACTAATATTAAATATTATTATATCGAATAAGATCACAAAATAGTTAATTATTCTATTAATATAAATTATATATATTTTTAAATAATGTTATATATTTAATACAACCGCATTAATTGAGATTTGAATTAAAATAGAACAATCTACTACCAATTAATTAACATGCTTAATATACTTTTATTTGTTTATTTTTTATATAAATTTAATACAGCGTGTTATTTATTTATGATTTTAACTAAAATTAATAATAAAAATTATAACTATACAATAAATAATGATAAAATAATATTTTATAAATTAATTAATGAATTTAAATCAGAGTTAAAAGACAATGATAACAGTGCGTCAGTCAAATTGAAAATGTCATAGAAAATTCAATAATTTTAATTTAATAATATTTTTCTTATAAAAAATAATTTTATTAAAAATTATTAGTATAAAAAATATATTTACTTATTTAAATATACTTAATAATTATATGTAATAAATGTAGAATGAATTCACGTGTAAATTTAATCAAATTAACTTAGTCAAAATAAAAAAATAAGGATTGATTTAAATATTATAATTAAATCCATTAGAAATGCCATGTCATGAGTGTTATTGACCTATTATCGTCCGGGAAAGTCTTAAAGGCAGTAAATTCAATCAAAACTTAAAAAATTTATTCATTACCAATACATCTAAAATTCATATATATATATATATATATATATATATATATATATATATATATATGATATATAAGCCATAAAATTTTGTTATTTTTCTCAATTCAATTTAAAAATTTTTATAAATATTTTCTCTTAAAAATTTAAAAATGTGAATATATTTCAATTCAATGATCTAATTTAATTTAATTTAAAATTATATTATTGTAAGTAGATTAATCAAACAAAATATTGACAATTTTAATGCAATTTAATTAAATTAAAATAAAATTTAATCAACAATACTACAAAATAATGCAATTTTATACTTACTCAATAAATAAAATATTTTAATATAATTTAAAATTAGTTACTTAAAAATGATTATATTGACACATAATAAAAAAAAATCTTTTATTTTGAAGATGTATTTTTCTTAAAAAGAAAAAGTATAAAAATAAATAGATTTACATATAACTAATTTATTAAAATCAATAAAAAAATGTTAGATGTCATAAATTTATTGTATATTTTAAAAATATTCATAATAATAAATACTCAAATCAATAATTTATACATTAAATAAATAAATATATTCAATTATATGAATAATTTTGGATGTACAATAAAAATTATAATAAAAATAATAATGTTGATATTTTATTTATTTATTTAAAGATAAAGTAAAAGATTAAAAATATAAAATTATTAATTTTAGTTCTTAAGATTAAGTTTAAATAACTAACTTTAATAAAATTTCATTGAAAGGATAAACATTTATTTATATTTTATTAATTTTAATTAATACATATATTTTTCTAATAAATTTTTTCACTGTTAAATATTTAAACTCAACCTTAAAGATTAATATTAATAAAATTTTATAAAATAAAGTATTTTTTATTAATAAAAAATTAATTGTATTCAATAAAACTAAAATCTAAGAGCTAATTTGTTTTTTCTTTATGTTAAGAAAAATTTTAAAAACTATTTTTAAAAATAATTTTTTTATTTTTAAAATTAAAAAAACAGAACTACTGTTTAGATATTTTTGTTTTGATTGTTTTGTTTCTCTTTTAAAATTAACAAAAGTTTAACTAAAAATAGTTTGAAAAACTAAATTATCAAAAAAATTTATTTTCAAATTTTTCTTGAAATTATAACATTATTTTAAAATATAATTTTTAAAATTAAAATTAATTCAAACAAACTCTAAGTTATATTTCTTTAAATGTGTCATAATTTTAAAAAATATTTTAGTATTAACATGTATTTCTTGACACTGAGAATTAGTTTGTTGCTTTACTTATTTTGTTCAAATTGAATAACTTTTTTAAATTTTGAGAAAAAAGAAAAATTAATAATTACTTTTATTTTAATGTATAAAAAATTTATTAACTTTCATTTGTCCTAATTATAAAAAAAAATTATTTTTATGTATAATTATTAATTTTTCACATCTTCATTTATTTATTGTAAAATATTTGTTAACGAAACATTCACCTATTATTTATACAAATAGTTTTATTTATTCATTCAATATATAAAAAATAAATAAATAATTTATTAAAATCAATAAAAAATTGTTAAATGTCTTAAATTTATAATATATTTTAAAAGATATTTATAATAATAAATACTTAAATTAATAATTTATATATTAAATGAATTATGTATCCAGTTATATTGATAGTGAGTGAGTATATTATTAATACAAAATTTATAATAAATAAAGGTGTATAAATAATTTACAAATTAATATATCTGAAAATAAATTTTACTTTTATATTTAAACAATCAAAACAGAATATACATTTATAATTTTTTATAATTAATATTGAGGAATTAAATATTTGTATAAAAGGAAGTGTGTTGTAAGAATTGTTAATAAAAAATTGTGATTATAAATGGTATAAAGTTGCTGTTTGATTGACACAATCATCGTGAGGAGGGAAGCTTAGTAATGTGTGTAGTTTATAAAAGATGATTGTGATTTTCAAAAAATTAAATAAATAAAGGAAATAGAAAACCAGCAGCGTCCAGGTGCATCCCCCTCCTCCGTCAAACCCACGCCTCAATTCTCAATTAGGGTTAGGGTTTTCACTTCAATCTTCTCCAAATCTTCAATGACCCACTCCCACTCTTCTTCCTTCACCATCCACTCCATAATCCACCATCGTCACTGTTCCTTCTCTCGTGTCTCTTGTTACTGCTGCTGTTGTTCATAGGTATCAACCAATCGGATTCTTAACCGAAGCATCTCTGTTCATGGACCTCTCACACCCTCAATCCAACTTGTCGCTCGGCTTTTCTTCTTCTCACGCTTCGCCGCCTCGCCGTTCCTCCATTCCCGACGAATCCATAACGCTGCACCTTGAATCCAGCCTCCGCGACCCTTCCAACCCTCTCCCTCCGGTGCCACTGCAGCTCCTGGAACCGCAGACGGATAACGGAAGCGTGGAGGTCGAATCGGACGATGACGAGGACCGGGAAGTGGAAGAGTTTCGAATTCTAGGGCATTCAATGTGCCTGAAGAGGCGAAGGGATTGCGACTCTTCTTCGTCCTCTTCGATCCCCACCAAGAGGGTTTCGGTGGAACCCGATCTCGATGCGCGAAGGGTTGCAGTTCGCTCTTGGGGTGGCCAACCACTCTCGATTGCAGACCCTGACATCTACGAGATAATGGAGAAGGAGAAGAAGAGGCAGTTCGGAGGGATTGAGTTGATAGCTTCTGAGAATTTCGTGTGTAGGGCTGTAATGGAAGCACTTGGAAGCCATTTGACGAATAAATACTCCGAGGGAATGCCTGGTGCGCGATACTACGGAGGGAATCAGTATATAGATGAAATCGAAACGCTTTGTTGTGAACGTGCTTTGGCCGCGTTTAATCTCGATCCCAAGTGTTGGGGTGTTAATGTGCAGCCTTACTCTTGTACCTCTGCGAATTTTGCTGTGTACACTGGGTTGTTGTTACCCGGTGATCGTATCATGGGGTTGGATACCCCTTCTGGAGGGAACACTAGTCACGGGTACTATACTCCCAATGGAAAGAAGGTTTCTGGGGCGTCGATTTTCTTTGAGAGTTTGCCGTACAAGGTGAATCCTCAAACGGCGTATATTGATTACGATAAGCTTGAGGAAAGGGCACTTGATTTTCGTCCCAAGATACTTATTTGTGGTGGAAGCTCGTATCCTCGAGAATGGGATTACGCAAGGTTTAGGCACATTGCGGATAAGTGTGGAGCTGTGTTGTTGTGTGACATGGCCCAGATTAGTGGGCTCATTGCAGCCAAGGTGTGAATATCTTCCTCCTGCTACTCTTGAGTATACTCCCCCCTCCCCCGATAATGTTTAGGGTTGCTCATTAATATTTACTCAGCTTTTCTTGATGGCCCTTCGTTTTTCTTGTTATGGATTCTCATTGTAGTCCTCGAATGGTTATTGTTCTCGGGAGAGTGGTAGCAATTAACGAGTTCTACTTTTGTGTTTTTGCTGTTATTGCTCTCTTAATTGTCCCAATCAGACTTTGAGGGTAACTGTTTTGGTCTTCTAGTGGTGTCTTTCTTAATTTTTCTTTTTTAGTAGTAATGATGTTATTTCTTGTCTTAATACCTGGAATGGCTATTTTGGAATTCTGCGCAAGATTTTATAGGATTTTGATTTTTCTTTGTGTACATCCTACCAATATAGGAAGCTTAATCAGATTGTGGTTCAAATTAGCCAGTCCTTTTACCTTTATAATACACTTGTTTCATGGACTGAAAATTCTATTTAGTTTTCAAGAAGTATCATTATTTGGATCCACAAGTATGTTACTTGTTTTTTTTTTTATAAATTTTTTTCTTATCTGAATAAACATTTGTGCTTATTGGTTTTAATTTCTTTTTTGCATTTTCAACTTAAATCAAAGGTTTCTGGAACACATGGACAAGGCTGGTTTAAGTCCATTATTGTCTCTGGGACATATATCTAATAATTGCCGCTTCTTCAATTCACTTGCTTTAATAGTTTGGTATTATTGTCCTTGCAGGAGTGCGTGAACCCTTTTGACTATTGTGATGTTGTTACTTCAACAACCCACAAGAGTCTTCGAGGTCCAAGGGGAGGTATAATTTTTTATCGGAAGGGTACAAAACCGAGGAAGAGAGGGATACTTCTAAATCAGGGATATGAAAGCGATCAATATGACTTTGAAGAGAAGATAAATTTTGCTGTTTTTCCATCATTGCAAGGGGGCCCTCACAATAACCACATTGCTGCACTTGCCATAGCTTTGAAACAAGTTGCTACTCCTGAGTATAAGGCATACATGCAGCAGGTGAAGAAGAATGCTCAAGCTTTAGGATCTGCGTTGCTGAGAAGAAAATGCCGCCTAGTTACTGGGGGTACTGATAATCATTTATTACTATGGGATTTAAGGCCCCTGGGATTGACAGGTATTATATGAGCCTGCTATATTTTTATGACATATTGCTATTGGACACAACTAGTTTGCATTTTGTCTGCACTTGTATTGGTTTTGTTTAATCCTTTAGACTCTTTGATGTTTTATATCTTCAAATTTACTTTTCTAGATAGATACATGGATTTTCATCGTAAGTGTTTGGGGGGGGGGGGTGCCTGAAGTGCTGGCCTCCAAAAGATTGATATTTTGGTATAAAATTAATATTAATCAAGCCTTACATCACCAGATGGGGTTAGCCACTTGGGTCAATCAACACCATAAGGCTCTATAAAATACCAACTTTTGAGTAAAACCATTTATAGCAAGTGTGCCATGGTTTTTCCCAGTATTCTCTACCCTTTTTTAATTGGATCTTCTTCCATATGATCCACTTCTCTTACTAGCATCTCTACTGGTCTTTTTTTTGCATGTTGAAACCACCTTAGTTGAGTTCCATTATCTTCTCAGCTGGTGAAACTTCAACTTTCTCACTGATGCATTTGTTATGGATATCATGAAAGTTGAAAGTCTGCATTCTCATCTTAATTCTTTTTAACCCCTCCTGTTGGCACTTCATTACCCTTTTAGTACAGCATCGTTGATGTTCTAGTTGTCTGGTAGACTTCTGCTTTGAGTTTGAAAGGCACTTTGTGCTTGCAAATTATTCTTGAATCCTATGGTTCTTGCTGAGCGATTGATGAACTTTGAGTCCTCTATATTTTTGCATACAGTAACAAACTCTAAGCTTAATTGTTTTGGTGCTTGTAGGTAAATTTTACGAGAAGGTCTGTGAGGCATGTCACATCACTTTGAATAAAATTGCTATTTTTGGTGACAATGGAACTATAATTCCTGGAGGTGTTAGAATAGGTAAGTAATAGTTTATTATACTTGAATCTTTTATGTTTAGTATGCTTGGAATATTTGATTTGCTGTACATTCCCTAGAGACAGATTTTTTATGTTGTATTACTCAGGTACCCCTGCCATGACATCAAGAGGATGTCTAGAGGCTGATTTTGATATGATGGCAGAATTTCTCTATAGAGCTGCACAAATTGCTAGCATACTGCAGAGAGAACATGGGAAATTGCAGAAGACAAATTTGAAGGTACTTGAGAGCAATAGAGACATTGTTGAGCTCCGGGCCCGGGTTGAAGCTTTTGCAACTCGGTTTGCAATGCCGGGTTTTGACATTTGAACATGATGTAGATGGTGGATTGCCAATATTGATTATTTATATATGCTACCCTGGCGGGTTGTCGAGCCTGCTTTTTACAAAAGCAAATCTTCTTGGTGTACATATATTTTGTGGAGCTTCTCTCCTATCTGCATTGTATCCAGTTGTCAGGTTTTCACATGTTGCAGTGAGCTGCAATGTGGTGGTATATGACAGTACGTAGATAGTACTGCTGTTGAGGTTTCTTTTGGTAATCAAGCAACCTGTTCCAACTTTGATGGAGGGTGTGCCATCCCTGCTGAATGCAGCTAGGCCATTATAGGAGTTGGGACAGGGATTCTTGATCAACGAACCTGAGTACAGAATTCTTCTGGTGAATCTGGTAAAATAATTACTTTGATAAAGGTTAGACACCTTGAATTCTTTTACCAGCTGTTTGACGCTGAAAGCGATGTTAATTCTCCTTTTTCGCTATATATTACCCTTTTTTGAATATTATATTTGTACTCATTTTGACCAATACCTTTGCCGTGTTAATTGTTAAATATATAGGTTAATGTGGTAATTACGTGATTGCATTGTACCCTTGTATAATTTTTTCAACATAAATTGTATTCTCAAAAAGGAAGTTTGATTATTCTCTGCTGGTCGGGAATCAAACATATATTTCAGAAGCGCCTTTAAGTTCATGCGCAAGTTTTGTCAGTCGGGCATTTTTTTTATGTAGCACAAGGGAATTAAAGTATTGTGGGACAAAGAGTAAAGTTTGATATACACTGAAGTACACTCCATTTTCAGGATGCATGCGGTGGAAGGTGAAAAGAAGAAAGAGATAGAAAGGAAAAAAGAAAAAAAAAAGAAAAAAAATGGGATAGATTATGTGACGTGACAGAAGAAAAGGGTATATGGATGAAAATGAAGGGGAGGAGAGATGGAAGTATTGTACATGTTAATGAATATTATTGTTGAGAAAATTGAGTTGCACTTACAAGGTCCCATATTTATCTGGTTGAATACTTTGCCACCTTGATTCCCTATTTTGTCTTTTACTTTTCAGCATGAGTGGTACTGGCTACCTATTGTGATCTCTGGGGATTAAACCGTTTTCTCATTTCGGAAATCTGAGAATGTCACATTCTGATTGGTATTGCATGAATATATGAAGCAACACTTTTTTTTTCACTTTTTCCAAGATACAATATTTAATATTTTTGTAATTGTTGGTTAAAATTCATATAACATTTTTTAATATTTTTTGGAATTCTAGAATTTGAACGTATAATAGTGTCAGCATCTTGTGACTTTTATTTTTTATGTAGTGAGTTTTTTGAATATGTTGGAATTCTCATGAATTTTAACCTGTAACGTGTTGCAAGATTTGAAAATAATTATACTTCATCGATTAAACAAAATTTGCATTCTATCTATAGGTAATTACTACTACCCCAATAGTTAAATCATTAAAGGGTTGCTTGGGAAGGAGGTTTTGGAGGGGAGGGGAGGGTATAAATTTATATTTTAAATAAATATATTTAAAACTAATATTTTTAAAAAATAAAAGATATAAATTAATATATTAATAAAAATTTAATGTATTAATAATATATTTGTTATTATAAATAATATATAATTCTTTTAATTTAAAATTAAAAAATAAACCCTCTCCCCTCTTCTTTTACAAAAACTCTCCTCTCATCTTTCCAAAAACTCCTCTCAAAACATACCCTAGAAGTTATATTCTATCTAAAGTAGTGTAACTTAAATCCTCTTGACGTATATCCATTCCAAATAATTACAACTTATGATTTTAGTGTCAACTTAAAATTGATGCCTGATGGAAAGAAATGTTGTAAATAGATAATCCTTTCTCGCGATGGAGTGTAAAATTGATTTCAAAACCCTTGCTTTTGTTTTCTCATGGTCGTAGGGGATCATAATTGTAGTTCCAAGAAAATCTCACCGAGATGAATGAAAACCTGCGCAATTAGTCATTGTTTTTTTTTTTCTTGTAATTCTTTTAAAGTAAAGGTTAATATATATGTTTTTTGTTCTATGTTATATTTACTTTAAACATAATTTTTAATCAAAATTAGTTTAAAATTTAATTCTTATATATATAGATAGATATATTAATTTACTTATTACTATTAATTGCTTGATCTAGTGTAACTCTAATAAGCTTAGAGGTATTGAATCCTATGAAGGTGAGAGGTATGAAATTGATACAATGTTGATGCGTTCAAAATTGGTGAATAAAAAGGCACACCTATATTAATAAAGTAATAATAATGAAATAATTTGTGTATCTAGTATAATGACGTTAACTTATAAGATTTGGATGCAAATAATGCAGAGTTAGGGTATTGTTGTGGTCTTGTGAGGATATGACGAATTTATAAATTTAAACACACGAGGATATAAAAGAGTGTATCTAATCTCAATAATGTTGCGAAAGGGAACGAAGAATGACTTCTCTTTGTTTAACGATTAAGGTTTTCTTACAATACGCTTACTAATACTAATCTAATAAAAAATAATTTATATATTTACACCAAAAGTAGGGACTTCTTAGGTTTTTTGATTTCTTGATAAAAAATTATAACAAAAATACTAGAATAATATACTTTTAAAATAATTTATCAGAGTAAATAAAATGAACAGTAAAATTTATATAAAATTTACCTTAAAAAGACACACATGAATCAGACTCGTGGCACAGACAAGCCCATTCATTGCTCTTAATCAATAGGTACTATTGAACTTAAAATTGACACGTGATGCGCAAGCACAAGTGACTTATGTAGAACAGGTGTCGCTCACTCTGCATGGGACACTTGTCATGCATGGTAATTCCTCATGTCAAAGAGATGACAACTTGCAGATGGAACAATTTGAATTTAAATAACTGATTTCCTTTTCTCCAACCTGGTGAGGGCTCAAGGAAATTTTTTTGTTCTAACATTTGAGAGCAAGGGAGCTAGAGAGGACCAAAAGAAAGGACCAACGCAGAGAAAGAAGGATTTTCATCATTTGAAATAGATTAACATGTGTGAGGTATGTTCTTTTTTATTTTATTTTTTAATTGTTATTTTATTGCATATTTACTTTTTTATTTTTAAAATATTTTTTTTATTTATTCACTAAACTTTTTTTTAGTTGTAATAGTTGTATTTTATTAAATGAAATAGAAAAAAATAATGTTGTTTAATTTTTTATAATTATAGTTAAGTTAGGTAAAATTATAAAATTTGTTTTTAACTTAGTAAAAGTTAGAAAATCTATAGTTAGGTTAGTAAAAATTAAAAAATATATAGTATCACTTTTGAAATGTTATAATAAGAATTTAAAATAATTTTATAGCACAATAATTTTGGAATAAATAAATAATGTGCTATATTTAATTTTTTTTATGACATATTAATTACTATCTATGTTGCAATAGAAATTAATTGATTATCTATGTTTAATTAGTAATTTAGCATATCTATTTACGACGTTGAATTTACTGTGTTACTGTACATGTTGTAATAGCAATTTAAGTTATTGTAATAGTTTGTAAATATTTATGCAAATGATTTTTTATTTGTGTTATTTAATTAATTTATTAAATATTATGATGTTTTAATAAAATAACTGGAATTACTTTATCCCTATCACATTCGTGCCATATTAGACTAAGTTTGGATAATTTAAGTTAAAATATCAAAATGTACATATAATAAAATATAAAATAACACATTAAAATTGAGACGTGCACATTAGAGATGGCAACCAAAAAATAGTTTACCATACCAAATTATGTCATACTTGCAGCGGGTTAATTTTTTTGAGAATTGTTCAATTGTAATTTTTTCAAGTTAAAGCATGACTTACTTTAGCATTAGTGGAGAGATGGAGATTACATAAAACTCATCTCAATTACCAACTATACTAAAATTATTTTTTTTTCTATGCTTTTCTTTATGACATTTTATAATCATATAGATTAATAATACTTTCTTGTATTAATCCAATGGTAATTGATGTGTTTTGACTTATCATTCCATACCAAATATAATAAATCAATATATTCAAATTTAATAATACAATTAATATAATTTAATATTTATTTTCAATAAAAGTATATATAACTATTTAAAGATGTTAAAATAGCAAATTCAATTAAGACATACAGTAAGAAGCATGAACAAATAAATTCTAAATTCAAATTGATATGATCTTGCAACACCAGGAGATTCACATAATTATCACATGTTTGTTCTTTTAGAAGGGTGAAACTTCACTTGACACGGATAACCAACAACATTATTTTGACACTTCACGTCTAAAATATTTTACTTTGAATCAATTATGTGATATCCTTAAATTTTAAGTCCAGTATAAATAATAGTTTAAGTCAAAATTGATAAAATGAAATAAATTTTTTACTTTTATTTTGCACTGATAATACATATATGGGAAAAAAATTAAAACTTTTCTGATGAATAAATATATTCACAAATTTAGGTAATAATAATAAAAATGAGAAAGGATAAATCATAACTGAATGATTACATTGTACTGAGACATCTAAGAAATATACGTGTACTAGTATCATTTGCATATAGATAATTATTTACAAACATTTGACCATAAAACTATAGGACTTAGAGTAATTAATTGCATAATTAAAATAAACTAAGTTCTAAGAACACTCATAACCCATATTCAAAATACTAAAGATCCAACCCAAGTCGTCGTTGTCATGCCAACTTTTTATCTCAGTTAACTCCTTCGAGTTAGATCTTCATCTTCTCCAAGATAGAAGTTGCCAGAATTAGCCACGACCTCAACACCTATGATCCTTCAGAAGTCACTCAAGTCGATCTTCCAAAGAGATCATGATCAAAGTAGGTACACAGATAGCTCACAGCTATTGAAGTCCTAATTGTACTTCTATAAATATAAATATAGAGAAGGTGTGATAGATCCTATTGTTTACAAGAAAATCTAAAAGAACACTATAATCCAGGTCCATTTCCACAATATAAACATGGGTAGGTACATTATTATAGTCTACAGTAAACTTAAAATAACAGAACTACTGATAGTTATTAAATACATAGTTTATTCTACAATGTATAGAATAATATACTAATTTAATCGATCTTTGGAGTGCCGTCATCCTTGTTACCTGAAATATTTAATAAAGATGATCATTCATTTTATCATTAAACATACCTTAATCTTAATGACTAACATCATAACACAGTTATAATTATGGAATGAAAGAAAACTTAATAATGTCAATTACAAAACAATATATCAACAACTCTTACATAGTCACATATACATAGAATTCATCATAAGTTATTACATTTTTCTCTTTCATCGCACTCTCAGTATAGTGTGATCACATATATATAATGCTTCTAACACTTCTGAGGTCTTACACAGTTAGATAAATCTATGCACACGGATACGATGTATACAATAATGGGTCCCTTAGCAAAGGTATAGTCAGGAAACGAGTGTGAGGTCATGTGACGCATTTGCTTTCATAAAGAGTATGTACACATACACGAATGTTGCTCACCACCTTATGTTTCTCCCAGATTTTCACATCGTCTCCAAACTCTATACCCCTATTGTATCTTTATAACTATTCACATTAGTTTTATTCAACACTTTATATTCATCCCATACTTCTTTCATTATCTAACCACAAGATCATACTTAATAAAACACTTTCAGACTAAGCTTACATCACTCATAGCACCAAGATATGATCTCAATAATTAAATCCTTCACATTAGCGCATAAACTTTTTTATCACAATCATATATTCTTTAACTACGAGATCGTATTTATTCAAAATATTTCTAGAAATGTATCACTAATACAATATTATACACATTCCAAACTAACAAATACAATATCATATCTAACACCTTCATTATACATCATCAAATGTTATTCGGCTATAATATTATACTTTATCATAACATCTCTACACGTAATTCTCATTACATATTTCATATAAACAAAGTATGATC